ATTTTATTTGAACCCATAGAAAATCACTCTACACCCAACTTAAATTTTAAATGTAATTTTCTTTTTTATCCTATTATATAATTACCATCAAGTACAAGATGAAAATAACAGTAAAATTGAAATTTATTAATAAACCCACTAATAATCTTGTGGCTCTTGAAAATGATTAAAAATTGTTTGATAGATATGTTATATTTTAGATATAAAAAAAAAAAAACACAACTATATTGCACTTGTAGAAATAGACTTAATGCACTGCACATTCATTAGAGAGAGCCAAGAACTTGTAGGCTGCAGTAATGAAAACTAAAGCTCAATCAAGATTGAACACAATATTTGGGTAGAATAGAAACAAAAAGTAGTTTAATTAGTGATCAGGCATGCCCTACAATAGAAAAACAATAAAACCAAGAATCATAACTTGCTAAGATCAGTCCCAGCTTTCTTCTCAGCAAGCATCGATTGGATAGCAGGGAGAGGTTGAGAATAGATTGGATAACAGGGAAAGGTTGCCCAATCAATCATTGACAGGAAAATTTGGTATCGAGTTACATAAACCTAGTTTGTATTAAGATTGAATGAGTTGCAGAACATTCATGGATGAAATGTCATTGGAGAGAGAGAGAGAGAGAGAGAGACTACAATATGTAAGTGATGAATTAGTCAAATAAACCGATGAACCAGTTACCCCTTTTGAATGATTATTCACATATTGTTGTAAACCTCATTGATTTGATTGCTTTCTTTACGCCTTGAATGAATTGCAAGACATGATATTAGGTTTTTGTTTTCTAAATGGGTGTAAAAATAAATTTACATATTGAATTGGATTTGTGAGGGTATTTTAGGTAATAAATTTGGGTTTAAAGAGATATTGATAGTTTAATTAAAAAAAAATTTGGGCATAGAAAGTAAATTGGGTGTAGAAAAATGTTGTACGGATTCAAATAAAATTTTCTTTCTATAAAATCAAAGTATTGACCTAACCAATATTTTTTTAAATGATACGAGAAACAACTCTTGCTCTAATAGTGACATAAAAAAATGAATTATTATTATTATTGGCACTTCAAAAATCTCAGTGTAAACTCCAAATTTTCTATGTAACAGCCCGTTCCGGAAATTTTAAAAACGTACGCGTGAAAAGACAATTTTGCCCCTAGCGAGATTTTTCGTTGTGTGGTTGTTCTTTTTGGTTTGGTGTGGCTGGTTTTGCACCACACACTCTTCCCCACACTCACCCTCACCTTTCCCCTATCCCTGCACCCTGTCCCGAGCTCCCTTTCTTTCCCATTTCCCATACAACGTACGGACACACACACAAATCCATCAAATCTTCACAGATCGAAGAAACAAAGTACATATCCATGCTCTTGAGGCTCGTAGGAGTCCAACCATACCCATTTCAGGTAAGGTTACCTTCGTTTTCACGTCGAACTCGAGATACTCGATTTTTGGCACTGTTCATGCACACGTAATTTCTTGTGTTTTTGGGAATTTCAAGCTTGTAGGAAGCTTGATGAGGTCTCTAGGAGGCTCGAGGTGGTTCGTTTGAAGGTTTTGGACGTCGAAATCGCGAGTTTCGAGGTTGGCCGGAGTTGGGGGTATTTTTCAGGCGAGATTTCGTGGATTTTAGCACTTGAAAGTGGTATGATTTTGTTCCTCTCGTTGTACGCTTCATTTTGGTACCAATTTTGTGAAATTTGGTTGAAAAACGAAGAAGATAGGACGACGGAATATTCCGTCAATTCGGACGGAATATTCCTAACGCCGTTGACAGAAACCGTTAAAGATAACGAAATATTCCTGACAGCGTTAATTGACGCCGTCAGCGTGCCAGGCACGTGCCTGCACGTGGCCGGCGCGTGAAGGCGCGTGCGGCGGTGAAAATTTTTTCTAAAAATATGGGGATGTTCCTGAGGTTGAGTAGATCACGTTGGTGTATTCATACACCCCATTTGAGCAATGTATGAGAAGTTATTTCTAAAGGTTGGTTATGTGCTTTAAAATTAACGTTTTTATAGTTGTTTCGCATATAGGTGAGACGTATCCCGAGGACGAGCGTGGTCACTCGAGGCAAGGGGGTTACGACCCTTCTACTTATCAGTGAGTGGGCTTTTGGTTTTCCGTATATATACCTATATACTTATACGTTTCCCAGAAAATGAATTAAAAATGTTTTTACATTATTATGCCATGTTTATTGGTTGTCGTTCGTTTATGCATTATTAGTCATATATATATACATGTGTATTGGTGCTGTGGACGCACAGGTAAGTGCCAGGTGAGTATGATTTTACATTTACGTTCAGTAGTGATTCTAGATGCCTAGAGAGCTCATAACCTGCACCCCCGGTGTTAGTGCTCCCGCCCAGAGTTGGGCACAGTCCTTCACGTGATGTTCACCTCCCGCACCACACGCTCATCTTGGATCCAAGTTAGGTGCACAGGCTTGTCGTACAGACCACGTTAGGTGGTTCCGACTCGTAGGTGACCCGCGATTATTCGCCCAGCCTTCATGTGATCGTAGCACTAGAGCGTACTTATATTACACCCAGGCCTGTCGTACAAACCACTTTAGGTGGTTCCGACTTGTGTGCAGGTATAGTTAGTGAGATGGAGATTTGAGCTCTAGACTCAGCAGTACAGGTCACGTTAGGTGACTCCGGCTGACAGATCATATGACATTGATATGACATTACCTAAGCACTTGCATTTACTTTGAGGTTTTGGCATAGCATATTCCTGAGCATGACTTATATATATATATATATATATATATATATATATATATATATATTCTATTTTCTGGGAAGTATACAGGTTTTACGGCGAGGGGTTAGAACTTATTTATTAAATTGGTTTTCGAAAAGCTTTGTTTTTGCCCACTCACGCTTTTGTTTTGCGCCCCTCCAGGTTCTAGTTGGCTAGCACGTTTGGTGGCTTCCCTGAGGACTTTCCCGGCATATCTGACAGACCACCACCAGTGTAGGAGTTACGCTATCTCATGGCATCTTCACTTAATCTGTGTACATTTTTATTATTCGTCCCAATTATTTAGTTCTATACTTCAACAAGCACAAATATTCTATATTTAAAAGAAAAATACAATTGTGAGAAGTGTACAATGAGATTTTTGAAGCGTCAATAACAATTCTTAAGGAAAAAAAAGATAATACTTGCATGCCCTACTTTGATGATGAATTCATTCCCTCTCTTGCAAATAACATATCTTCACCGTAAGGAATGCAAGTACCAAATAAAACAATGGCTCATCATGAATATGTTACTTGATACCTACATACATCGTTGATTTATTTAATACATTTTGGATGACTAAACAATATCCAATTCAAATGATTTTTGGTAAAGATGATCATTATCTGAAGATTTAAGAAATTTTCATGATGTAGATAAATTATTGCAAGTGGAAAATTGGAAATTGAGAACGGAATTTGAGAACTTGTTTGCTCACCGTTTCATTTTTTTTAAACTAAAATCAAAATTTAAAGCTATTTTTGTGAGTCTTAAAATATATTCATAAATTATAGAATAGTTGGATTCCATTGATGCACAAGTGATTAAAATATATTCACAAATGTACATAAAAAATACATATACCAATTATCCAAGAGTGGCTGACAATTGTAAGCCATCATCTCAAATAATTGTCATCTCTCATTCAATTCCTGAACGAGGACGCTATCTCCATTCTCCAGCACAAACTTCCCCTTCAAAACAAAGGGAAAGAATTCCTCAAACCAAAACCAAGAACACTAATAGTCGTCGTCGTCGTTATACTCTTCCACTCGCTCCTCGAGAATCGTCTCCAATTTCGGAGAGCTAGAACCCTTCCATGGAAAATCAAGAAGGGGCGGTGCAACCTCAATCCAAGGCTTCCTCCGATGCACGAGCTCCTTGGGCATTGCGAGTTTGTAACTTACCATCTTCATAGCTTGTTAAGCAAAATTGAAGCGAAATCGTAGGTTTTGATGTCGAAATTTGTATGCTCGTGTGATGTGGAGAAGATTTTAGGTAAATGGATGCCTCTCTTTCTCCTTGTGGTTTTTAAGGTTGAGAAAGAGAGAGGAGGATGGGAAAGGGAAAGGATAACAAGGGACTTGAGAAATGGGGTTTTGAGTGGATTTAGATTTGAGGGGTTTGAGGATTTATATAGGTTGTGTGTTTAGGCAAAAGCCCAACTTAGGGGGAGGCTAAACAAGCAAATTTAGCAACAGAATTCTAATTATCCCTTGCATCTCCTATCATTGGGGTAATGAACATAAAATAGGTTGGCCAAATTTATGCCTAATTGCTACAAGGTTCGACCTAAAAAGTGTTAACTTTTCTAGATGGTGCGTTCTTTTTCGGTCAATCTATACAAGGTATGTTTTAGGTTGGGAAATGACCTCAAAACAACCCGTTCATCGATTCTCCTAAGATTTATTCAATCTAAAGGCCATAAAATGGTGTAGAAAAGAGAGCAAAATCAGTACAGTTTGGATTTAACATACACCTGGATGCCAAAGATCCACACAACAAAATCTACATCCGATTTTCGGAGGTAAGACTTGATTTTACATATCGGATTTGTATCTAAGAGCACCCGAAATCATAAAGATTCAGCCTCTCTGAAATATATTATCTCAACAGCATTCCATCCAATTAGGGGTAGCATGTCCTAACAAGGATTCTAGATGTGAAATGCATGCCGCACGCAGTAGTACTACTTCTACAACAGAAAAGGTAAAAAGAAACAATGCTTAAGGAGGTGCGCATTGCGATGTCGGGTGAGAGACAAGGCTTTCAGAAGTGAAATTCAAAACATACAGTAAACATGTTGCAAAAAACAGAAGAATTGGTAGGGGAATGACAAGATACACTTGAACTAATAGTTAAATCGGCGGTAGTGTTGGTAGTTCGAGATACAACTAGGGCGAACAAGGGGTTTTTTAAAACACAGAAAGAAAATTCAATACAAATGCTTGAACCAAAACAGGTGAAGCAAACAACGGCACGAAACAGGACTCGAAATCCCGCAACTCATCTAAATTACCATGAAAAAGTGTGATTGATGATCTTAACAACGTGCTCAAAATTAATCCCAAATTATCCGAAATGGCATACACTCCAAAACAAAAATTTAATTCAGCTAAAGTAAAAGAGAGAGCTTCACTGGAGCAGCAGCTCAATCGAGAGGGATCTCGACGTCACCGTCGGCGATCTCCTGTTGCAAATCCTTGGGGTCCTTGCCGTCGACCGTGCAGCCCACCGAGACGCAGGTTCCGAGAATCTCCTTCACCGTGCCGGCGAGCTCCTTGGCCATGGATCTGTTCCTCATAACCTTGGCTATCTCGATGACGTCATCGAGGGAGATGTTGCCGCTGTGCTTGATGTTCTTGGTCTTCTTGCGATCGCGCTCGGGCTCCTTCAAGGCCTTGATTACCAGGGCAGCCGCCGACGGCACCACCGAGACCTTGGCTTGCCTGTTCTGGACGGTGAGCTTGACGGTGACACGGAGACCCTTCCAGTCCTTGGCGGTCTCCTTGGCGATGTCTTCTCCGATCTTCTTTGGGGAGAGACCCAGGGGACCGATCTTTGGGGCGAGGGAACTGGCGGCGCCGACCTCCCCGCCGGTAACGCGGACGTATACATCGACGACCTGTGAGGGATCGAACTTTGGCGGCATTGTTGCAGATAATGGCGAAGGACAAAGAGTGAAATGCTAGGGTTTTCAACAAAGGCGACAGACGGAGAGTGGGAAATGCTGTGAATTATATGCTAGGGTTTTGCAGGGATTGATATTTTAAAATGTCGGAATTGGCCCTGGTGTTTGCGGAGAGTTAAGTTTTACATAGAGTTGTCTGTGGCAATTTGGGCTTTTTGTAGGGCTCTTCCTTAAATTGGGTTTGGGCCTGGTAAAACCACTACTTAGACTTGACCTACTGTCATTGGGCTTTATTCTATTTGCCTAATTGCCTTTCCGTCCAGCCTTTTCGTGATCAACAACTTAAAATTAAGGAAGGGTAACTCTCTTTATCTCGCATATCGGAGTTTAAGAGTTTTCATCAGTGCAGTGTTGTTGACTTTAGAAATTGCAATGCCTATGTAGCCCGAGGCCGAGCAATTATGAGCTAACTAAATCCTTTTTATGAATGCGGGTATGTCAATTCATGACCAAACCCGGCTGGACGAGTAGAATAGATGTAGGGGTGGTAATGTTGAATGCGTTGTTGACTTCTGTACTCGAGCAATTACGGCCAAGGAAGGAACACTTCTCGGCCTTAGATTCTAGAACCTGAATGCAAGGTTGGCTTGATCAGTGCAAAGTTCTAACCAACAAGAGGTTTGGCAGCCTTGACTATATTCATAAAAATATAGGTGCGCCGGATCGGTATCAGGCTATATTCAAAGGAGATAAGCATTTTTATAATCAACGTGTTTCAGCCATGTAAACGTCGAACTGCGAAGTTTTGTGTCTTGGGGAACGTAGCTCTGTCACTGCCAATCTAATTCGGTATTTTCTAATTGTTTGAAGTATTTTGCTGCATTAGAATGTTTTGATATTTCAGTCGTGCACTACAACAACTTTCGGTCTTGTTAACGAAGCTCACCTTAGTTGAAAGTTTTCTTGGTTGATTTGATGTCATACCACACACAGCAGGACTCTCTTGTATTTTTGTCGATCAAAAAAGTGATCCTATCACTCTCGCAAAACCCATGCACAAGAGTCCACACTCACCTCTGTACCAGAAACCTGGTGCTGCTGCTGAGCTCAAGTAGTAAACCTACAGCCGTTAGCCTGTTTACACAAATATCCTCACGTCGAGATTCAACTATCTCGGCTCTGCAATTGTCGCGTCTTTGTTTTGCAACTGTTATCGCAACCTGTCTCTGTCTACCTCGATTATCTTTACTTAAATTGGGTTATCATGTAAAGGAGTTTATATCTCTAAGTGATTAAGCGTGTTAGAGCTTACATCCGTACTTCTTGCCTTAGAGCTTACATTTGTATTTCTCTGTTTAATTCGTTATCCTCCGTTACTACTTGTATCAAGGGGGAAAAGGCAGGTCTATCATTGTTCTTTCAACTCCCGAACGAATTATTTAACTGAATTATCAAGAGAAAAGATCGGCTTTATTTGACTGAAAAGGAGTCATTTTTTAGTGTCGGATACTGGGATTTGATCGTATTGGGGTCATTTCAATTGCCAAAAACAAATAATGGTGGGGAGAGAGTTTGGAAGTTGCAGTCAGGGTTTCATTTTTAGTTTAGAATTTCTCACGGTGAAATGATTGAAATAACTTGACATAAAAATCCACACTACTATCACAATTCTAGAACGACCATCACTATCTTTCCTTTACCATTCGGGAACGTTAGTAATTTTTTCATTCGAATATTCTCATTTTCGGCTCTTTTTTTTATCTTACAGTGTTTGATGGTCGAAACCATCTAATTTCTAGGTCACTCTATAAAGATCAATTATGTAAAATAAAATTAGACCGATTAATTAATGGTTTAATTAACGATGTCAACCTTACAAATTTAGGGATGCAACTTTGGTTGGGCCAACCCGAACTCGTCCATGTCCAACCTAACTTTAAACCTGAACAAGCAGGTGTTTTTTTTAGTTATAACCCATCCGACCCCAACCCGATTTAAACCTGAACAAGCAGGTGTGCAGAAAATCTTTATTACAGGTGATGACACACTTGAAAATATTGGGGTATGCGAAGTTTCTGTAAGTTCCTCTACAACATATGATCTTGGTCGTGGCCTTTAGCAAATATGTCGTGCCTGAACCTTTCTTTCATATTCATATAAAATGGTTATAGTGTTACATTTAATTTGAGACTTCCATCAAATTGCTAAACCTGAGGAACTTTAGTTAATCAAGCCTTGAATTCTGGTAACCGAATCACCATCTCGGACTACAAGTTGAATTCACATTATATACGGTAGCAAATGTCCAAGTTGGTACTAGTTTTGGTATTTCTTGTATTTTAATTCAAACTTTGCATGGTTGAAACATTCATATTTAGTTTAAATTTATAACGGATACAATTTGCGAAATTGAATTTTAATTTTGAAAAAGTTGGGCAACCCGAACCGAACCCAAGTAAATCCGAACCGGATTAAACCCGATTAAAACCCAACCCAAACCCAATCCCGAATTGTAAAAGTTGGGTTAGGGTTGGGTTGACCTTCCAACCCGCCCGAGTTGCACCTCTATTACAAATATTCAAGTGAGAAGCATGGTTCGTCTCTTTAACGGTTAATTGTTTGATAAGCAAGCCATTTTAGATTTTGTAAACAGTGCAAAGATTATCTTTAAATGATGATTTAGAAAATAGATGACTTAGAGTATTACGCAACATTAGAGAAAAAGCCGAAATGGTAAATTGAGAAGACCCATATAAGAATCACCATCTCGGACTACAAGTTGAATTCACATTATATACGGTAGCAAATGTCCAAGTTGGTACTAGCTTTGGTATTTCTTGTATTTTAATTCAAACTTTGCATGGTTGAAACATTCATATTTAGTTTAACTTTATAACGGATACAAGTTGCGGAATTGAGTTTTAATTTTGAAAAAGTTGGGCAACCAAAACCCAATCCAAGTAAATCCAAACCTGATCCCGAATTGTAAAAGTTGGGTTAGGGTTGGGTTGACCTTCCTCCCCCCCCCCCCAAAAAAAACCCGCTCGAGTTGCACCCCTATTACAAATATTCAAGTGAGAAGCATAGTTCGTCTCTTTAACGGTTAATTGTTTGATAAGTAAGCCATTTTAGATTTTGTAAACATTGCAAAGATTTATGATTTAGAAATTAGATGACTTAGAGTATTACGCAACATTAGAGAAAAAGCCGAAATGGTAAATTGAGAAGACCCATATGAGAAGGTTGCTAGCTACTCTTACAAATATCACGACTATTTAAACTTTGTAATCATTACCACTACTTTAATATCTTGATTATCTCGGTGGTTTAGCTTAAATTGAGTTACCTTGGCAAATGACTCATAACTCAAGTAATTAAGTAACATTCCCTCTTATATTGAGGATCATGTGTTTATCTTTCCCCTTCATCCCATATCACTACTAAAGAAAGAAAAAAACAAGTTTATTGATCAATTAAACTCCAAAATGAATCATTCTATAAAATGAGTCATTATTAGACGAGAGTGATTTCTGCAATATATATTTTTTTTTTGCACATTTATGTTTATTTGAACTTTAGCATCAAATAAAATTTTAAAAAAAAATCAAGAGACTGAAATAAACAGATATTTTCATAAAAAAAATAAATAAATATGCAGAAATTATTTCGTTTTAACAGCAAAAACCATCACATTCAAAGGAAAATAAGGGTGCATAAAGGAGCTTCAAAGTTGCAAGTTACAAACCCACTTTGGATAAGGAAATCACCCTCTCCTATCCAATCACTCTCATAAAATGTCATTATCCAAACACACTCAGCTAAGCTAGGCTCTACTAGAATGCTTCGATAGCGTTACGTATCAATCCAACGGCCCACAACTTACATCAACTTTATGCCATGAAAGTGAAACACCAGCTGTTAGGCCTTCTCACCCTCTCCTCCTCCATGCCTTTTAATAGATAGAGACTCTCACTCGTCTTATTAACCAATAATACAGCATCACTATCTCACAAGTAATAATCTAAGTTGAAGGGTGATTATAATGGAATTCTCTTATTATGAAAATCAACGTATTTAAGTTTGTTTGGAACTCAAGGGTGTCTGGATTTTTTTCTTGGGTGGGCTAACTAAAATTAGTGCCATAAAATCATATGTTTATTTTTTGCTTATATAAAATTATATAGTACTACGGTCTAGTGGTATTTCTCTTCACTTGTAAGTGAGAGGTCTTAGGTTCGATTCTCGCCAAAGGCGAATTCGAACCACATTATTGCTTGTCCATTGTGAGGCTAAGCTCACCCCTTCTCCCTTAGTATAGATAATATTTTTTGTTAAAAAAAAAAAAAATATATATATATATATATATAGTAATCAATATAAAAGAACAACAATAGAATAAATTATTCTCAAAATCATAACTGTGACAACTCGTCCCTATTTTTAAGTTTTATAAATTTTTGAGTAGTGATTTTACGAAAATGCACTTAGAGGCGAAGATGTTTGACTTTCATTGACCGTTCAAAGTCACAATTAATGTCTCCAAATAGATCTCAAAGCCGTGAAAGCATAGACGAAAGCCGTTTGCGAGTTCGGGTTTTAACGGTATAGTTACAGACATTTAAAGTCGTTTTACTAAGCTATGAATATTAGATTGATTAAAACTCCCACCATGTGGGAATTGTAACCAATCAAGGTTGAGAACCGGCCCAATCATATTATTTTTAGGACCAATCAGAGATTAGGGGGGAAAAGGAGGGACCAATCAGGAAGGGTGAGAAAAAACCACCCTTTCCCGTCGACCCGTCCATGCTCCGTAACCCGATTTCAAACTGGTGTGAATTTTGGTCAATCTCATCTATTTTTCAGGTGAAACTCAACCATCCATCACCTGAAATCTCTTCTACAACCTCCCATCTAACATCTCCACCCAAATTCAAAGGGTTTAGGTCCAAAACCGTGTAGAACCTCACCGGAGGTGCTCGACGGTGATTCCTTCGATCCGGCGAGTTCTACCACCCACAACTACCCTTAATCA